ATATCAAATTCACGTAAAATTTCCTTTCGAGCATGTTTGGGGACATCTTTGATTATAATACATAATCGTGCCTAAATGAAAAATTGTTAGTTTAGCTAATAAAACTAAAGGGTGGTTCAAATATATTCTATACCTTAAAGATTTTAGAATCATTCTTAAGTTGATTAGCGCCATTTTGAAAGCCTTGAAACGCTGATGTTATTTGTCGGTTGATTACAAATTGGTTTTTGAATAATATCATATTGCTTAAACTAGCATTAAGCAAGGTTAAAAGAAGATCTATTTTACAAAAATAATAGTTGCCATAAAGTTCGTAATTACATATAAATCGTATAATTACAAAAATAATACCTTCTTGCGGAGTACGTTCTAAAGAGCCTATTCCTTCAAAGTCTAACGCTACATAAATAACCTCTTTTGTGATAGCTAGTACATAATGCATTATTAATACTGTACAGTACATACTAAACAAACATTTTTATAGATAAATCAAATGTATCAAATAATTACATAATGACATCCATGCACCTTCTGTACATTGCTAGAATATATTTAACTAGCTTAGTGAAATATTAAAAATATATTTCATTAGACAAATACAAACCATTGCTGATCCAGCAAAGTTGGTTCCTACGAGCTTTAAAAATTTAAATTAATTATTAAAAATAATGAAAAGAATAGTAAACAAGCATAAATTTAAACAGTTTTCAGTACATGATTCATTAAATATGATTTCCCACAGCTTTGTTCACCCATTGATGATACCACCTTAATCTTCCGATTTCCATAATAATTAAAAATTCCTTCCTACCATCCAAGTGATATTTTACGGCTTATTGTTTCTGTATAATTATCATCATCTTTATCATATTCTATATTATATTTTTCAGGTGCATCGAGTCCATTATAAAGTGGAATTAATTTGTTTTCTCTAGCAATTGCTATTTGAATAGGTATCAAACAACATAACTATTTTTAAAAGTTAATAATATTAATAGCTAGCTATA